TAGATATGAATAAATAAAAATATGAAAATGCCTATGTTCATTGTATGTTTCTAACATTAAGGACTTAGTTGACACCAGTTACTAAACACAAAAGGAATTAGTAAAGTATCAGAAAAGATTTTGATATGTATGAAAGAGCTACATCAAGAACAAGAATCTGTAAAAATCTCCATGTGGCAGCCCCATGCCAATGCTTTTATCAGTATTGACTTAGCCAAGATAAAAATTCATGCCAGCCCAGATTACTATACCCAGCAAAAGTGTCAGTCACCATAGAAGGAGAAAACATATTCCATGTTAAAAACAAATTTAAGCAATGTTGATCTACACATACAGCTATAAGAAGGTACTGGAAGGAAAACTCCAATCCAAGGAGGCTAACTACACCCATGAAATCATAGGAAATATATAATCTTGAACCAGCAAAACCTAAAGAAGGGAAGCGCGCGTGCGCGCGCGTGCGCACGCACACACGCACACACACACACACACACACACACACACACACACACACACACCACTTCCACTGCCACCACCGACAACAATAACAATAAAAATAACAGGAATTAACATTCATTGGTCATTGGTATCTCTCAATATCATTGGACTCGATTCCCCCAAAAAAATACACAGACTAACAAAATGGATGCAAAAAACAATATACACCCTTCTACTGCATGCAAGAAACACTCTTCAACATCAAAGATAGACATCACCTCAGAGTAAAGGAATGGAAAAAGATTTTTCAAGCAAATGGATGTAAGAAGCAAGCTGGTGTAGCTATTCTAATAACTAACAAAACTCACTTCAAACCAAATTTAATCAAAAGAGATGGAGAAGGCCATTTCATACTTATCTAAGGAAAATACCCCATGATGATGTCTCAGTCCTGAATATCTATGCCCCAAATGTAAGGGCACCCACAATTATAAAATAAGCATTACTAAAACTTAAATCACATATCACACTGCACACATTAATAGTGGGAGACTACAACACCGCACTCTCACCAATGGACAGGTCATCCAGACAGAAACTAAACTGAGAAATACTATCTAACAGACATTATAAACCAAACAGACCCTAACAGAACATTTCAACCAAACACACAAAAAAATACATACTTTCTTCTCAGCACCTCACAGAACTTTCTACAAAATTGACGACATCCTCAGTCACAAAGCAAGTCTCAACAAATACAATAAGTTGAAATAACCCCCTGCATCGTATCAGACCACCACTAATTAAAACTGGATTTCAAGAACAACAGAAAATCTACAAACTCATGGAAACTGAACAACTCTTTATTATATGACTGCTGAGTCATGACAGAAATAATGAAAGAAATTAGAATTCCTAGAATTCAATTGAAATTAAATTACAGCATATCCAAATGAATGGGACACAATGAAAGTGGTGCTAAGATGAAGGTCAGAATACTTAGTGCTTACACAATAAAATTGGAAAAATCTCATACTAGCAACTTTATAGCCTATCTGAAAGCCCTAGAACAAAAAGAAACAAGCACACCCAAGATGAAAAGATGGAAATATATAATCGAACTGAGAGCTTAAATCAATAAAATAGAAACAAAGAGAACAATACAAAGAATCAATGAAATAAAGAGTTGGGTCTTTGATGAATTCAAAAATATAGACAAACCTTATCCAAAGTAACTGAAAGACAGAGATAGAATATCCAACTTAACAAAATCAGAAACAAAAAGGAGGAAATAACAACACCAAGAAACTACAAAGAATCATTAGGATACTTCAAAAACATGTACTCCACAAAATTGGAAAACCTAAAAGAAATGGACAACTTTCTCCAGGAAAGGCGCAAAGCTACACAGAGAAACCCTGTCTCGAAAAAACCAAAAAAAAAAAAAAAAAAAAAAACAAACAAACAAACAAAAAAACAAAGGACAACTTTCTCAATAGACACCATTTGCCAAAGTTAAATTAAGATCAGATAAACAGTTGAAATAGACCTATAACCCCCAAGGAAATAGAAGTAGTTATTTGTAGATGTAACCAACTGTCTTATTAAATAAGAAACACAGAACCAATGCAAAGAAGAAAGCCAAGAGGTCAGAGCTAAGAGCTAAAACCTTACCCTTCTTCCTGCGGTGGTCCTACCTCTCCGAAAGAAAGCTACTTCCTGTGTTAAAGTCTTTATAAAGACTTTCGGTTCTGCCTTTTCATTGGTTGTAAACCCAACCACATGACCGCCTCATCACTACCTGTCTGTACAGACCTCCAGGTCTTCTATGGTTGGTATTGAGATTAAAGGCGTGTGTCTCCAATGTTGGCTGTATCCCTGAACACACAGAAATCTACCTAGCTCTGTTTACCAAGTACTGGGATTAAAGGCATGCACCACCACCAGCTTTCCTATGGCTTGCTAATAGCTCTGACCCCGGGGCAACTTTATTTATTAACATACAAATAACATTTTAGTACAAAATAAAACATCACCATAGTCATTAAAAGTCTCTCAACCAAAAAGAGCTCAGGGACAGATCTTAACACAGAATTCTATCAGAATTTCAGTGAAGAGCTAACACTGATACTCTTCAAATTATTCCACAATTTAGAAGAATAAGGAACATTGCCAAATGCATTGTATGGAGCCACAGTCACCCTGATAACCAAACCATACAAAGATTCAACAAAGAAATGGAATTACAGACCAGCTTCCCTCAAGAACATGGATGTAAAAATAATAAAATTATTGCAAATCAAATCCAAGAACACTTCAAACAGATCATCCCCCATGACATGGTAGGCTCCATCCCAGAAATGTAGGCATGGTTCAACATATAAAAATATGACAATGCAATCCACTGTATAAACAAATGGAAAAAAAAATAACAAATGATCTTCTCATTTTCAGCGTTATAGATGCTGAAAAAGCCTTTGACAAAGTCCAGCACCGTTTCATGATAAGAGGCTTAGAGAGATCAGGGATACAAGAGATATACCTATATATAATAAAAACAATTTACAGCAAGCTTATAGCCAACATCAATTTAAATGGAGAGAAACTCAAAGAAATTCCACTACAATCAGGAACAAGAGAAGATTCACCATCCTCTCCATATCTATTCAATATATACTTGAATTTCTAGCTAGAATACTAAGAAAACAAAAGGTGATCAATGAGAACAAATTAGAAGGAAGAATTCACAGTATCATTATTTTCAGTGATATGATCATATGCATAAATGATCTCAGAAATTCTGCCTGGAAACTCCTACATCTGATAAACACCTTCAGAAAAGTGTGTGGTTACAAGGTTAAATAAAAAATGTATAGTTACTAAGAAACTAATTATGCATTTTGTTTTGTTATAGTTACTTCAAAGTAACTATATTCACTAGTGATTTAGATGTACTTATTAGATAGCATTAAGCATAGAACGTAAAATTTCCAAGGAAGAAGTGGTATGCTTTTTGACTCTCATATGATTATGTGTCAGACACTCTGAAACTGTCCCTGAAATGCTAGAACTTCCAGTACAAAGAATATGTTACTTCTCCAAAATGGAAGGTTGGCAATTAACCTCAATGTGCTCCTTATCATGGCCCTTATTTACACTAGCTGCCAGTCAAGTCAGTCAGAATTGTAATCACGAGACAGTTGGGTAGAAGTATACCTAATGGGCAAACTGACTAAATATGTATAATTACTAGCATACTTTGATTTGGTAGTAAAAGTTGAACAGATCATAGGCCCATTGCATTTTTACAAGAAATTATTTAGTCATAAAAATTGTGAATTAGTTTCCCAAATTTTAAGCTTTAACTTGTTAGTAGACTTGGATTTAAGTATGGGAACACTTTTTAAAGTTAATTATGAAAATAGAAATAGTGCTACTGTACAGCTAGAGCAGGAAAGAGTCTTTCTCATCCAAGGATTACACAGAAACAGTTCCTGATATTTCCTTGTGGAGAAAAATAGTATAAATGAGTAAATTTAGCAACCATGGACAGAATTCTTGGTGCTTAGCCTGTCATCAAGAGCTCCTAGTTCAATCTAACCAGGTAAGCAACCCCTAGGACAATAAGTGCTTAAAGGGTGTGATTCAAACCTGGAATTCTGGTGAAGACATGTCTACTATGGTCTCAGAAATGGGCACAGCAGTAAATATAAATGTCTGTGACAGACAAAGATTTGATATTTGCTTCTTTAAGTTCCTTTCTACCATTCTCATCATCTTTACCCCATTTCTTCTACATTATGTGACCTTTCAACACTCTTGGTATAGAACTCTTAGCACAGTTGTAATCCCATGTAGCCAGAAGGTTTCTCCAGTCTAGCCTGGCCCCAAGGTCCCACAGCTGCTTCTAAAATAATCATTCAGAGGCTTAATATTAATTGTCAATTGCATAGCCTATGGCAGGCTTCTTGCTAGCTAGCTCATATAAGTTGACCCATTTCTATTAATCTTTAAGTTGTCACATGGCCCTGGCTTACCAGTATTTTCACATCTTGCTTCTCCTGGTTGTGCTGGAGTCTCTCTCCCCTCTGCCTTTCTTCTTCCTGTCTCTCCCTTCAGTTTCCTGCCTAGTTATAACCTGACATGCCATAGGCCAAACAGCTTTATTTATCAACCAATCAGAGGAACACATTCACAGCATACAGAAAGACATCCCACAGCAATTTCCCTGTTCTGTCTAATAATAAAGGAAGTTTTTTAACTTTAACATAGTAAAATTACATATAATAGAACAGTTATCAAGCAAGAATATCTAGTTACTATATCTAGTCTATTTATATTTGGCAAAATTAAAGAAATATTCTTTCTATCCTATATTTGTGAGTCTAAAGTTTCATATCTGATTTATCTTTTATCATGACTAAGGAAAACTATAATTATAACTATCTGGTCTTCAACTATATCAAAGGTCCCAGAAGGATGTAATATTACCTAAGTAAACAGGAAATGCATTGTAAGCAACTTCCAAAATTCTGGAAATGACAGAGAGAGCTGCCTACCTCGACAGTCATCCAAAGTTCCTCTGTAACATTGGGACATCTATCTTCAGCCAATAGGCCTAGACTTTTTTAGTTACTTCTCCCTGTTTCCCATAAAATAATTGGCAGTACCCTCTGTGAAGCAGGACCTAAAAAAAAATTGACCCCATTTTTGCAAATTCAGTGGTCATTTTCCTATGGGTCCTACATATCCAGTTTATACAACATATTATCAGCAGTCCAGGCAAGAGCATCCTCTTGCCCAAATGGCTATTTTTTGCCAAGAAGATAAACTCCATATGGAGTGTCTTTGATGCCTATCCTCCTCTCTGAAGTAAATCGGTGCTGCCAGGAACAGACATGTTTCATTGTCCAAAAAGTCTAAGTTTTTAAAACAATTTGAATGCCATATTCTGTAGGTCTGTGAAGTGTTTAAGGATTACCTACCTAGTTGAAATATATCTATGTTTACCTAGAAAACTTAACTAACATGACTGTAAGTTTGATTATTATAGATGACTATTATTAATCTGTATTGCTTAATTATACATTATAATTTCAAATGAGCTGTACAAACATAATACCTTAAACAAGAGTAGAAATATACATATACTATAACAAAATTAACTTTAAATGTGTATCAATAAACTAAAATCTATAGCAACATAAAACATTTTAAACAAGTTGTTGCTCTTTAAAAGTAGATTCAATAATCTACTCTTTTATCTTATCATATCTATACTATCCCCTTTTCTTTTTTAGAAAGAAATCGCATTTATAATCAACCACCTTTAAATAAAAATAAACATTTATGAACAATATTTTGGGAATTTGGGTATAGCTTCTCCTACTATTTCCTGCTGATGGGCAGGCACTGGTAATCTTATGAAGATCCTGAGAAAATTAAGAATTATAGTTAAATCTTTGCAGTACCACCTCTGAGGACAGATTGACTCAGCCAATATCTTTGAAGCTGATTTTGGATGTGGGATGATCTGGGCCATGGTGTCACTGGAGACCTTTTAGGGGGTCTTGGCTGATCAAACCATATTAGCCTGGAAGCAATCCACAGGTTCTCATCTTCTGTGGAAACAAAAGCAGAACCTCTTTTCCAAAGCAATGTATCCTTAGACACAAATTTTGAAGTCACTATACCTCTAAAATATATTGGTTTAACTCAGCAGCCTTTACAATCAAGTCTCTCTGCAATTAAAAATCCCAGCGACAATATAATCCAGACTGTCTGTGTGATTTCCACCTTTATGTGGCTTAACTTTTATATTACTTTTACTGTATCTTTAAAGACGTTATTTTTTAAAACTATTTCTTTATATAATGGCATATATTTCTTTTCCTCTCTCTTCCAAACCTATGTACATTTTTACATGCATTATAAACCATTTAGAATTTTATTCCATCTGAAACTGACTTATTGTGAATCTATGATCCTTCTCTGACCAGGGGAGATTTTAAACTGCTAAGCTGCATGGCTAAGTTTGAAATGGCAGCCCTGGCTGCTGATTGCCCACTTCAGCTTTTAACATGGTGGAGAAGAGTCATGCTTATCCAGAAGAGTCATGCTTACGCTGCCATCTCTGGAGTCCATGCTGCCATCAGGTAGGGTGCAGTTGGTCCATAAACTCGTTTTTGTCTGTATGAGCAAAAGCTAAATTCACCATACAGCGTGCTTCATGGCTTGGAGACACCTCCGTGTAGCATGGAATCCACCATGCTTCATTCAAGCCCAAACATCATGAACCCACCATACTGTAGCTCAAGTTCACATGCCACAGTGTCTCTATACCTTGGGATCTCTGTATCTTGGCCAGTATGAGACATGAAGTAGAAAGCTGTTCTTAGCTGAATTTTAGAATTTCTTATGTTCTCTCAAGTTTTAGGTGGAAAGTTGATCCAACATATTGGGCAGCCAAATGTAGCCAGAAGGTTTCTCTGGTCTCACCCGGCTCCAAGGTCCCATAAATGCTTATAAAATAATCATTCAGAAGCTTAATATTAATTACCAATGGCATGGCCTGTGACTGGCTTCTGGCTAGCTAGCTCCTATAACTTGACCCATTTCTATTAATCTGTAAGTTGAAACATGGCCCTGGCTTACTGGTATTTTCACATCTTGCTTTGCCTGACTACTGGAGTCTCTCTCCCCTCTGCCTTTCTTCTTCTTATCTCTCTCTCTTCAATTTCCTGCCTAGCTATAACCTGACTTGCCATAGGCCAAATGACTTTATTTAATCAAACAATCAGAGAAACACATATTCACAGCATACAGAAAGACATCCCATAGCAATCCCGTCTTTTTCTCATAATGAACTTGTTAATAATACCTGGCATGCTATAGCCCTCATGTACAATGAAACTGTTAAAGGTCATTGTCCCATTGATTCAAGGGTGTTTGATTTGCAAAAGCTTTTACCTTTAATTTCAAGTAAGTCCTTGGGTCTAGCCACAGGCTCTTGATTTCCTATGATTATTAGAGTGTTTCAGTTTCCAGGTAATTTTCTTCAAGATGGGCTTAAAAGTATCTTGTCGTTTTGCAAATTTCATCTCAAATGCTGTTTCTTGTTTAGAGAACAACTCACTGCAGTGACAAAGCACAAAATAATTAGTAACTTAATTTGATAACTTCAATACATATTTTTTTAAATGCTAAGGAACAGAGAACTCTCCAATTTGTTCCATAGAGCATTTTAATGAGGTTTTTTGTTTTCTTAATGTGACTCACCAACCTTATTGAGATCTACAGTGAAAAATAACAAGAGGTAAGGAAGGAACACATTTTAAGGACACATAGTTCATCAAAGAAAAGACCATGAACATGTTTAAAGTTACAGTCACATTAATACTGAAATGAGACTGTAATTGTTGAAGAGAATCATTTTAATGTACATTGGGGCAACAGGGAAGGTACCCTGGTATATGTGGCGGTAATGCTCACTCTTCAAATGTTTAAACTTGACAAAATGTAAATTTACTTGACAGGAAAGAGTCTAAACTCTTAGTACCACCAAAAGGGTTCCTTATTCCTGGAAAGAAACTGCCTGAAGAAGTATTTTTCTATGGTCAGCACTCAGAGGCTTCTTTAACTATACTCCAAAGGTACCAGTCTCTATCATGAGTTAGTAGCCAAACTTGGCAACATCATTCACCAGAGTTCTGTTATTGCAGGTGTTAAAGATACAAGATTGAGGTATAATGAAATCTTGTTGAATGATTTCAGAGAGCATATGAGTCCAGATGTTTGACATAGACATGAGCCCTCCAAGGAGGCATTGAGAGGCAACTTTAAGAAGGAGTAAATGTGAAGTCTGAATTCAGTAGAAACCATATGATGTTTTCTGATCTTTGTCCTTCTATATTTAATAGATCTTTATAATAGAGATGCAATAGCCTTCTAGATTGTCTTTCTGTATTTTATCTTTAATAGTTTGAGCATAAAATTGACTAGGTATGTGTATATGTATTTTCATATTTATTGTTTAATCATTTTTCTAAATCCTTAGATCCATATTTATTCACACTGTCATTACTTTGAAAACACAAGGACCATTACTTCCTTAAGTATTTTTTCTAGTCTTTGAAATACTAATAATGTGCATAAAATGGCTCACTATTATTCCACAGCTCTTACCCTGTTTTATTATCCTTTTATATTGTTTCTAATTTAAATCTGAGAATTTTTATTAAGGTTCGTGGCTTTTCTTCCTTGTGTATGTAGAGTCTATTAATGAATACATAGAATTATTTTTGTTTCTCATGATGGCACATGAATGGAGCTCAGAATACAATTTGCTTGAATAGGCTCTCTCCTTTTATCTTGTGAGTTGTAAGGATGGGATCCATGTCATTAGGCATAATGGCAAAGATCTTTGCCTGTTGAGCTATCTGTCTGGTCCTGCACCTTAATTTTTGTGACAGGCTCTCTCCTTAAAGCTGGAACTCACAGATTTGCCTAGACTAGCTGCTCAACAAGCCCCAGCAATCCTCATTTCTCTTCCTCCCATGACTGACATTAGATCTACACAATGCTGCAACTAGCATTTTATCTGAGTACTGTGGTTCTGAAACAAGGTCTCCATGCTTGTAGAGTAAAGCACATTACCAACTAGGCCATCTACCCAAAATTTTATCATCACTGCTATTTTTTTCCATCTCTTATATTTTCATTCCACTATTTCTTATAATTTTCTTCTTTCCCTGAAATTGTACATATCATCCACATTTTCACCTTTTTCATATCAATCATGATTACTTTAATGTCTGTGTGAGTTCACTATGTTGTCTTTACCATATGTTTTGTATGATAGTTAAAATGTTACATCTTATTTAAATTGTGTTTCTGTAAAATGTAGTTTTGTCTACAATTTTTTGTGTGTCCTTTACCCTTGACACCTGGATGCTTTGTGGAGGGAGGTAGAACTATGGTAAATACTATTTCTTTTCAGTCTTACAATTGGAAATAGGTATTTTTCTCTAGGCTTTTGTGGCTAGTGAAGAGGGAAACCCAATCTAAGAGTTGATGTGAGCTTGGTATTGTTCTTCCAATGGCTATTCCCAGGACCACACTGGCTTCACACTCTTCTACTGTACTGTGGTCAGTATTTGATTTGCTTATCCACTGCTTTGCTTTATGTATTCCTTGTAGTTTGTCACAAAGTGGCAACCTCTTGATGTTTTCATCTCTTAATCAGTAGTATACTGTTATTTGTTACATATTTTATCATGGTAATATGTAGAGAATGTTAAAGAGGACATTTTTTTTCTTATTTTATCAATTAAGCCTCAGTCTTGTTTAAGTACTGACCCCTTGTTCTGATGATTCTCTTATATTTTTAACTAAATCCAAAATACATTCCTGTATCTCTCTCTTGAGAGATAAATTTTATCTGTTATTTTTCTGCCTTTCTTTTTATTTTATTTATTTTTATTTTTTGATTTTTCAAGACAGGGTTGCTCTGTGTAGCTTTGTGCCTTTCCTAGAACTCACTCTGTAGACCAGGCTGACCTTGAACTCACCGAGATCCGCCTGGCTCTGCCTCCCAAGTGCTGGGATTAAAGGTGTGTGCCACAGCTGTGCGGTTTTTCTTCTGCCTTTCTTTTCAAACACACAAAAAAACTATGCTAATGCTCTCTAATTACAAGGTTATGGCTTTACCTCAGTGTATTATGTCTCTCTATTCTATAAGAGAAAGAATACAGAAGGATCAGGTAAGGTTTCCATGTTTTTCCTATTGCAGTTACTGTTTCCATTTTCAAGATCTCTATCATGAGTGGCATTTTGGGGGATCCTTTATTTGGCCTATTATCTGTACTCCATGATATCAATAGTGAAGTATAAGTGAGTATGAATTTATATGTCGTTATAGACTCTTGGAGCCTTTAATTCACATAACCAATACATGGTCTTGAGCAATTTGTTAAATGTGTATGCTGATTTGCTCAGCTATATTTATTACTGAAATCCTCACAATAGTCAGGAAATAAAACTATCCCACAAACGTATGAACAAGTGATGTGGATTGTTGGAAGAGGAAAATCTTATCTTTAGTACCATTGTGCCTAGTAGGTTTCCCATGCCCATGTTCATACAGGCAGCATTAATTGGATGCAGTAGGTTAAAATAAATTAACAATTAAAAATTACATAAAAGGACATAAAATTGGGAGGGAGATTTGATGGGAGAGTACTGAGGAGGTTGGATGAGGTACTAAGAGACAGATTTAATCAACATATAGTACATATATGTATGGTATTTTCAAATAAAATATAAAACTTTAAAAGGAAAACAATGTGATTATTGAAATCTTCATACAGATGTATCAAAAATCTTAATAGGTAAATCAGTACTTTATGGTGATTCTTTTGTTATTTCCTGATCTTGAGAGTGAAGGTCTCACACTTGCAACAATAAAATTAAATGCTAATCTGTACAATATTCAGATTACAATATTGTACAATATTGAATTCATGGAAGATTATCTGCCAGTTTTCTGAATCTTTAACAAGGTGAAAACTAGATACACTGAACTCACTGAAATTTTCATTTTTAAGATTACTATTCCTACAAGCATAAGACTATCTAGATTGTTAAATAAAGTTATGATCTATGAACTATAAATTATATAATTTTTCTTATTTCTTGCATTAAATAATAGAAATTCAAAATACTTATTTTGAGTTTTCTAGCAAAATTTGAGGCTTTTCTGATTTCTAAAATTTTGCTAAAATATTTTCTAAATTTTGAAGTAAATATTTTTACAATGAGGATGTTTGAATATTTAACACAAATTCCTTGGATGTAGAAAATAATTTGTCATAAGTAAGTTAAAATGAGTAGTATTTTCCTATCAGAACCATTACAATTTGCTATGCTTTAGTGCCTCCAAACATTTTATCCCATAATACTGATACTTTAATTTTCTCATTAACATGACAACATTTATGACAAAAGAAAATTAACAATGGAGTGTTTTGATTTGGCTTATTGTTTGAGGGGATAAATTCGTTCATTGTATGGTTGGCATGGTGCTAGGAATATGATGTGGATGCTAACCATGTGCCTGGAATCAGAATACTGCTGCCTATCTTGGTTTTTTCTGTCTTTATCAGCTTGAGAAGGTGCTTTTCACATTCATGGTGAATTTTCTCTTCTCCGTTTAACCTTCATTTATTTCAAATCTTGTCCACTTGAAAATCAACACTAATCATGATGGGGCAAGGAGGTAGCTCAGTGAGCAAAATTCATGGTGTACACTCACAATGGCCTTAGTTGAAATCCTCAGCACCCAAATAAAAGCCAGCCACTCTTGATGAAATGACAAGGTCCAGGGAGAGAGCAGTAGAGTAGAAGACGACAATCAATGTTGACATGAGTCCTCCACAAAGGCAGACCCATTAGAATTATACTTGACTTCTTAATGCAGACCTTAAAATCCAGAAAGGCCTGAAAAAATGTGTTGCAGATTCTAAGAGACAACAGATGGCAGCCCAGACTACCACACCCAACAAAACTTTCAATCATCAGAGATGGAGAAAACAAAATATTCCATGACAAAGTAAAATTTAAACAATATCTATCCACAAATTTGGACATACAGAAGGCACTAAAAGGAAAATTCCAACATAAGGAAGCTAAAAACAACACCTACACTTACACCAATGAAAACATGTGAAAAGTCTCACACCAGCAAAAACCAAAGAAGAAAAACACAACCACACACAGATACACACACACACACACACACACACACACACACACACACACACACACACACACATAATAAAACAAATCCAACATAACAGGAAAAAACAACCATTGGACATTAATAGCTCTCAATATCAATGGACTCAATTCCCCAATAAAAAGACATGGAATAGATGTGAAATCAGAATCTATCCTTCTGCTGCATAGAAGAAACATAAATATTTTCCAAGCAATTTCAGTAATTTCAGAAAATCTATAAGATATACAAACCATTATCCAAACTAACTAAGGCAGAGAGAAAAATTAACAAAATCAGAAATAAAAAAGGAGACATAACAACAGAAACTGAAGAAATCCAGAGAATCATTAGATTATAT